CAGTTTTCCAGTTTATTGGTCGAGAGGCCATTTCCCATCCAATTTTGTACATTTGTAAACTGGGAGCAAATAATCGCACTGCAAATATTGCTGCTGAGTTTAAGGACACTGTGTGGCACTACCTAGCTCCCAGAAGTGCTGGGTGAATGTCTAGCCTCGGTTCTTCTGCATCTTAACTCTCCGCCTTATCTTGAGTGAAGACCTACTGGACTAGGTCTCTTAATGCTGGTCAATTAGCCCCTCGATCGCTGTGCCTTAACTGCTGTGGTGACCGAGATGCCGACGTCTCCGCGCATAGGTACCTGGAAGGGGCTGCAACCCACCCGTTCACCCCATCGCAGCGTCAAGCCGGGGCTTGACGCTCAGGCCACCCCACCCACCCAGGAAGCCAGGCCCCCTGGCTCTCTTGGAGGCTGCACAAAGCGCCTCTTTCTCTACAGATCACCTGCCTCCCTACACACACACCTCCCGGGCAGTCATTCCCGAGAGGCGGCCGGCCCAGTTCCAACGGCAGCTCTCCAAACGTCCAAACTCGGCTGCTGCTTGGCAAATTTGTTCTCTTGACCTTTCTGCTTCTTTGCCTCAGCTCGGGCTCCGATCCTTTCTGCGCCTGGATAAGAAAATGGGAAGAAAGGGTGTTTCAGACAGATGATACTAAGGGGAAAGGGAGCAAGCCAGAGAGGGGGAAGAAAAAGTGGAGAGGGGAGGAAGAGGTTTCTGGAGTTGCCAAGTGCTAGGGCAGAGCCAATTCTAGCTCTTTCAATCCGTTTTGGGTAAAATTGCAGTGACCCGAGTGGCCTGGGTACAAGCAGTATCGTGTGTCTATAAAATGTTCTTCCGTGCCTCAGCATTTCTGCAGCTGTTCCTGTTGCATTCCCCTTCACTATGCAAAAATAAATCAAGAAGCGAATATAACTTTTTACCAAATTGTCCTGAAAGAGAATTGTTCCGCACAGATGGTGGAGTCCTCCTGAAATTTTTGTGGTGCATTTGTGAATACAGTAGTATCTTCCCCCCTCCCTCTCTAGGGAATTTTTATTTATGAAGCATACAAGTCCAGTTTCTGCAAGACAGATATCCGCGTTGAAATCTGAAGTGCGAGTTAGTAGAGTTGGATAATTTTCTAAAATACCCACGAAGAATTGTGAGCTAAATATTCGGCAGGATTCTGAGATGGAGAGCAAATCCATTGATTTCTATTCCAGCAAATAAAAAGAAAATGTTCCAACTAAAACAAACAAACAATTTGGAAAAATCACTGAGAGGCTTACCTTTTCCATTTACAAAACCCAGACTGACTGTCCCTATGGATCGAATTCCCTGGGTACCAGCCAGGCTCTGTTCTTTGGGCTGCATAGACCCAGGCGCCTCAGTGAGTGTCTGAGGGGTGTGGGTGAAGGTCAGGTTGCAAGGGAGGGGTGTTTTCACACTTCTGATTTCACCCCAGGGTACTGCCTGACGAGAACGAGGCTTGGTGAACAATTTTCTAAGAAAAATTTCTGAACCTCTGACCCGGAGGAGAGATGCGGCGCCCAGGAGACTGGACCGAACGATATTAGGGGAAATGGGCTTTAAAACCGATCCGGAGGAAATTGAACATACCGCACTAAGGTGCGGATGTGAAACGTGAACGGATAGAAAACTGGGGAGTTCTTTGGGAAGAGTGAACAAAGAAGCGGACGGGGTAAAAGACGGAACACCCCCACCCCCACCTCCATTTTTTGTAAATAGAGTGTCGTGAAGAATTTTAGTAGTGGTCATTTTAGATTTTTCTCGACCCTGGCAAGGGGCAGAACGAAGCTCGCGGGCGGGAGTCGGGGATGCGCGCGCGGGCTCCGCACCCCCGCAAGGGCCGGCCTTCCCGGGGCTGCAGCTGCGCCAGCCGGGCCCCCGCGCGGCTCAGGGAGGGATTTCTGTGGCTTGCTCTAAAAGGAGGTTTGTTGGGGGTAGCCGGCGGCTACAGAGACGAGAGTGACCCTCCAAGAGCAACGGCTCACTTCACCATCAACCAACGCTCCTTCTGCGCGGGTGGCCAACTCTGAGTCCATCCTCCCCTAGACATACACAGAGCTAATTAAACCCAACTCATTTGGCAGAGAAGCTCCCTGTTTCCCAAAGGTCAAGGCGCCGCCTCATTGGGCCCAAGGCTTCTTCCCCCTACTCTTTGTCCCCCTCAGCCCTCCTTCCCGTGCTAGCCCTGGAACTTCATCTCCGCCCACGGACGCCCGCGGCTCGCAGCGGATGGGCCCTCGGCTGTACCGGGCTGTTTGTCCGGAGCTCCCAAAGCAGCTCGGGGAGGGCGCCCCTAGCGCAACCGGCTCGGGGGTGGGGGTTGGTGAGGTGCAGCTCCCACTCCTCCCAGGTCAAAGTTCCGGGATCTCAGCTCTCCCAGGCTACCTCCTTGCTGGGCACCGCGGCCGCAGAACTTGTCTCTGGGAGGTGGGGTGGGGGCGCCCGCGCTGCGCGGCCGTCTGGTTTGGGGCGGGCGGCAGTAAGCCGGTATAAAGGACCAATTCATTCGCTTCCTGAGGGGCATAATTTGGGTGGCAGCTGTTGCGGGAGAGAAGAGCCAGCGTCCTCGACCCTGGCTCTGCCCTTTAACCCCAGCTTCTCCGGACCTGAGGGCCAGGCTGTCCCGCCAGACTCAGGCCCACGGTTGCCTCGCCTTCCCTCGGACTGCGCTCGGTACCTCTCTTGGGCAGCGTGGAGGTGCAGCAGAGCAGAGGCCCCTTGAAAAAATATCTCCCGGCTCATGAACACATCTTGAAGGACTCAAGGGCTGTTCCACACTCTCCGCGGCCACCGGAGGCATCGGCTCCCCTTGGCACAGACCGCAGATGAGAATGGGGGTGGGTGGTTTAGGTTCAGAGAGATTTAAAAGAGAGCGGGCCAGGATAGAAGACTCTGAGAGCTTAGTGTTTGCACGGACCGAAATATCCATAAAGCCTGCATATAATAGAGAATTGCCAGGTTGAAACAGAATAGAAGTTTCAATCCTACAAATTTCTCTCCCACCCTCCTTCTTTCTATGGACAACTCCTATCTTTGTTTTTACAACAGTCCCGTGCCATATTCTGGCCCCCAGTCTTTTTTCATTGCTCCCTTTTGTCCAACGGGACCAAGCCGGAGCCCTGGGGTCGCAGTGCCACAATCAGCACAACCCAGAGGCGGGGGTTTCACCTTCTCCGCCCCCTAAATTAACTACCCCAATCTCTGGCCACTGGATTTGTACATAAAGGGTTCCCTCACCCTCCCCCATCCCCTCCTCATTGGTTTTCAAGTGACTATTAGCAGTAGAGACCTGCGCATCCTGAGCGCGATCCGCGGGCGCAGTCTAGGGTCGCGGTTTGCCCCTGGGGTAGAGGAGAGGCGCAGACCGGTCCCTCTCTCAAGAGAGCAGCATTTTCTGAAAGTGCGAGCTTCCAGTCCGCTCTGGTAAACGAGTTGCAAGGCGCTGTGTCCTCTAGCGGCAAACTCTCGCAGTTCATTTCTGAGCGCTCACCTACACCTAAGGGATCTGGTCGAGAGTCAATTCACGCTCAAATTTGAGTCCTAAATGGGGGGAAAGTCTCCTGAATGTAATCCAGGCTTTAGCCAAGGCCCTCTCAGTAATGACGCCGGGAGGCTCGGGCGCAGTCGCTCGAACTGTGGAACAGCTGATTTGTCTCCTCCATGGCAGATGGTCTTTGAGCACAGATTTGCATTCATTGTCTTCAAATCTGTTTTCGCGCTGGTGTTCTAGATTTCAGCAGCAGATCTACGCGCAGATCAGAATACAAAAGGAGAAGCAAGAAAATAACACCCAGCCAGGAGGATTTTTAATAGGCACCGCGAGCTGCCCGGCATAGTTAAAAAGCCGTCTAGGGTTTCAGCTGTTTGGCTGAGCCGCCGCCGCCTCCGGGCCACCAGCCCGTGGGCAGCAACGCGGCGACAGCGCGCGGTGGGCAAAGTTTGCGCGACTTCCCCGCTGCCTCCCTGCGGCTCCTCTGCTGGCTTCCCCGGGCTTCGGGAACTGGAGTGGGGTGGAATGGGGAGCTCCCGGGACAACGCCGGGAAGCTCTCGCGCTCAGCGAACCACGAGCTGTCAGCAAGCTCTCATCTGCACGGGTGCGATTCCGGCTCGTGTCTGCCCGGGGGTATTTTCCTTAGCTCCTTGGCCATTTTCCGTGACACTCTATTTATTTGAATAGCACTTGAGCCTTGCTTGTCCCCCACCCTGCGGCTTTCATTCATATATCCTCCTCTCTCAACAACTTGTAAACCGCACACAAAATCTGAGTGTCACCTCGAAACTCCGGGAGACTTGGGGAGAGCCATTCAGGGCACTGGATTGCTTTGGGGAACGTTTGCGCAAAACATAATACATGTGGTCACACTCTCCGCTTCTTCACAAACATGTACACAGATTCAAGTCCCGAGAATAAGAATGAATATGCCTCCCCGCAGGCTACAAAAAACTGCATCTAGTGGCGCGATCCACGGAAGCTTCCCGCTCCCGCGGCCAGACCGAGCGGGCACATCCCAACCTGCAGGGCCCGACTACTCGGCTTGAGCTCAAGATTTGGGGGCCCCAGCTCACGCACGCACACCGGGTTGGGGGAAGGACGCAGCGTCCACAGCTTTCTGTCCCCTTTCACCTCCCGGACTCCCAGCAACGCCGAGCGTGGCGCGCGCCGCCGAAGGACGTCGGCCCGGCCTGCCCAGCGCCGGCCAATCCCGAGCGTCCATGCAAATGAGGCTCCTTATCGTGCCGCTGCTCCGCCTCCAGCGGCTGCGGTCGAGGTAACCCATTCATGGGGCCCGCGCACGGCTGCAGCCCGGTTCCGAGGTGCTCGCAGCCACCGCCTCCTCTCCGCTCCGGGTCTTTCCCTTCCTTTTACAACTGATCCTGTTGGGGATTTTTTTTTTCCCCTAAATTCGAGCGGTGGGGAGGAGTAGGGAGGGGGGACTAGGAAGAAGGGGAGCGATTAGGCAGCCATCAATCTCCTCCTGTTTCTCCCAGAACAGGTGATGCTTCTAAATTGTGATCACTTTCTGGAGGCAGCGCTGCAGCTGGAAGGATGCGAGCGACCTAGGACGGAGGCCCTGAGGCGGCAGATCTGAACTTGCGCAGGATAAATAGCAAACTTTAACTACATCAGCCCGCACCTCACGCGCGGAGCAAAGGACGGGTTATCTCTTTTTACCGCCCCCCCCCCCCCCCCAAGAGAGACTCAAACTTCGGCTTTTGATCCCCTTTCTTGGATTGCTTTGGAGGAGACATTTTGGTGTTTGGTGACAGCATTGGGAACAGTAGGGACAGTGTTGTAACTCGTATTTTTAAAGCGACAGTAGACCAGACTTTTTAAATGTTTGGGATTCAAGATACTTTAGGAAGAGGACCAGCTCTGAAAGAGAAATCGCTGGGTGCCGAGATGGATTCGGTCAGGTCCTGGGTCCGGAATGTCGGCGTGGTGGACGCCAATGTCGCGGCGCAGAGGTAATGATACGGCCTCACCATTATTATGTTCTTAAAGTCTTTTCTTCGTTCCCTTTCTCGCTCTCACCGTCTGTCTGTCTGTGTGCCGCCTCTGTCTTCCCCCATCTGTCGCCCTGGCCCTGCGCGCTGGAGCTGGACCGGGGGCAAGCAGGTCGCTGCAATTAGGGGGACACTTACCCCGCAGCCAACACTCGAGTTTCCGAACTGCCTGGGTCGTTTGTGTTTCTCCCCCGCTCCTTCCCCACAGACCACTCTTTGCGAAGAAAAAATAACAAAGTGGCATCCTTGCGGCTCAGCCCTTAGCCCTGCGATGCGGGCCCAGCCGGGAGCGGAGTGCGAGGACGCGAGCTAGCAGCGGCGGCCGCCGGAGAGCCGGGCTTCCCGGCGCCTCCCGGGTTTCGCCACGCCGCTCGCAAGCGCCTCTCCTCCCGCATCTTGCCGGGTGATTCCTGAAGGCCGGAAGCCCCGCGGCCAGATGGCGGCGGCGACGCGAGGAGTGGGAGAGGCCGGAGCCGCTGCTGGGAAGGCAAAGTGGCCGGGAGCTCCGGGGCGGGGGGGGCAGGCTGGAGGTCCAGGCGCAGAGATAAAACAGTGGACCAGACCTAAGGAAGAGGGGGTGAGGGGAGACAAGAGATTAAAAAGGGAAGACGAAGGAGTAACAGTAGAAAGAGCTGCAGAAGAGGAAGAAAGGCGAGGAGAGGAGACCGGCGGCAAACGCAGGCATCAGCAGCCTTTAGTTTTGCTAGTTACTGAAGTTGACTTTGTTTCTAAGCGTCCGCGTGCTGAGATAGTAAACGCCTTGTCTAGAGTGCCACCCCACGAAGACATTCTGGTCCCTTTCCCTCATCACCACTACTGAGCTGGGATTTATGGTTTCCGCGTCTTTGCCTTCGAAAGACAGCCTCCCTCCCACAAACCCCAAAGAGCCTACGAACTTCTTCCCACGACTCCAGCCTTCCTATCCTCTCCCCTAGCCATCTCCCTCTAAGTCCTGACATCACTCAGAGAATGCCTCCTTTCCCAGACTGGCCACATCTCCAGGTGTCCCGGGTAGAGCGAACCAGCCGCTCGCTACCCTTGGAGGAGAGGAGACCCGGGGGCCGCGGCTCCCTCCCTTCTACAGGAGCCCGGGGCGCTGCCATCCCCCCACCCCCACCCCAGGCAGACAGCACAAGGCAGAGGCGGCTTTCCGCCGAGGTCTGGGGTCTCTTAGAGCTTCCGCCGAGGGAAATCAGGCAGCTTCGCAGACCCGGCTCCGAAGCGCATTTCCTTAAGCCAAGCACCTTAAAGACACCTCCTCTACTTTTCTCCTTTACCCGGATCAAATAATTGTTAAACTTGGAATACGCAGCCCGAGTGACGGACTCTAGCCAGAATTTTACGCCATTCAGAAGAGTGAAAGTGCTCGCGCCCTGGGGTAGGAGGCCCAGAGATCCCAGCGCCGCGGGGCAGCCCTGGCCATCTGCGCGCTCGCCTGGGCCCTGAGACTTCTGTTAAATGTGATTTGGCGGCTAGTTTGTCCCCGGCCGCGACAGGTCTGCAGGGAGGTGTGTGCACACACTCAAAACGCTCGAGGGCGCCTCCCGGGTCCTCCAACATGGGTTTCGCGGTCAGCGGGTTTGGCTGTCGCCGCCAGGAGATGCAGCTTAAGCAGGGATACCCCTGGCCCCAGGCGAGGACGCTCTCCGCCTCTTAATAACATTTTGCCTTCTCCAAGCGCAGCAGTTCTGGGGGCGGGGTCCCTAGTATCACGTCGTCCGCAGTGGCCCGCGATCCTTGGTCCTGGAGATTCCACTCTGCCACTGTCCCGGGAGCAACTTTTCGGAAGAGCGAGGGAAGCGGGAGGAGAGGCCTCTCCCTGTGGGTTGAGGCTTGGGCTCTGGGTTTTCTGCCCGGCCCCAGGGGGTTCCCCACCCACCAATTTTGGGGAGAGAGCAAGGAAGGCGTAGTGACCGGTAGCAATAGGTCAGTTAGCTCCAATGAAGATGAAGGAAAAGGGTCGCTTCTTCAAAAGTAAGGAGGCATTTATTGCTCTAATCCCAGGGCCTAGTTCCAAATCCTGATCCAGCTAGGGGCTCTACCTGAGGGTGACGATAGGGACGGCCCTATGGGGATAAGACTGGGGCTGCCTCCTTTGGGGTTGTTTGGGACATTGGTCCACATTGGGGATCTTTCGGTCTCCAGTAAAGGCCAGACTGTGAGCTGCAGGGATGCCCCGGAGGTTGGAACAGCCCGTGGTGGCGGTGTACAGGGCGGTGGTCCCGTTAAGCCGACCCCTGTGCCCACTGCAACTACTCAAAAGCATCCCCTTTTCTTACACTGAATTGCAAAAAGGTCTGAGGGGCCCAGAACTCTGGACCCGGGACCAGAACCCTCGACAACCCCACCCCCCATGGTATTTGTGTGGGCATGTTGGTAACGTGGTGTCTTTCTCTCCTTCCCTCTGTCTGGTGTCCCCCGTGTCTCTTCCTGCTCAGCGGAGTCGCCCTGTCCCGGGCCCACTTTGAGAAGCAGCCTCCCTCCAACTTGAGGAAATCCAACTTCTTTCACTTCGTTCTGGCGCTCTATGACAGGCAGGGGCAGCCGGTGGAGATTGAGCGCACAGCCTTCGTTGATTTTGTGGAGAACGACAAAGTAAGCGAGGTCCCCCTCTTCTCCTCACGGCCTGATAACTACCTCCTTGCAAAGTACTAAAGATTCCATCTGTCATTCGAGACACCTTTCCACTCATATCATCAGGAATGATAAATCAAGGCTTCTGGCCCCAGCCTCTGAGTCAGTCAATTTCGGGTACCTTCTCGCTGCGGGGGCGCTGGCGGCTGAATGAACCCAGCCTCTGGGTCATTAGCAGAGCCTGCGCATGGACTGACCGTGGAGCAAACCCCCTTCAGAACAGAGCATGTCCTTTTCTGGGTTATTCTATTTTATTTTATTTTATTGTTATTTTGCACCTGCCAGCGCCCGCGGAGTGGAGACCTAGAGCCCAGTCTTGGCCCGCCTTCCCCATTTTGAGCCCACTTTTCCACTCTCGCTCCCCAGTGCAGTGTCCACGCTGACCCAGGCTTGAGTTTGGGGGCTGGATTCGATCTCAGATGAAATGGACATGTGACAAAAGGAAAGTCTTTTGCCCTCTCTGGGCCTGCGGAGCTTTAGGGCAGAAGCTTCCTGAGGTCACCCTCAAATTTGGGCCCTGGTCCCTGAGCTTTTGGCCCCAGAGGCTCCAGTCTTGACAGGATAGAGCCAAATGCTGCCGTTGCAAATGACAGGTCCCTGCATCTTTCTGCCAAGGGAAGCCTTGGGACTCCTTAAGGAGACACAGAGCCCCGTTGGGTTGGGAGGGGCCGGTTTAGAGGCATCCTTGGTGGGGTGTCCTATTGTCAGCTCCTGGGGGGTCACTTCTGAGGACATTTTTAAGGGGGAGGGACAGAGGGGTGGCTCAGGGTCAAGTGGCCAGAGCCATAGCAAGTTTCAGAGGTTGGCCCAGGGCAGACGTCAGTGCCCTTTGACCTGGGGCTGGGCAGGGGGTTGTTCAAAGCTGAGGAGTGAGCGGCAGGAAAGGCGGTGGGAGGCCGTGCGGGGGGCGCTCTCTAGTTTTTCCTTCACTGGGTGGGGGGTGCTGGAAGGCAAGGGACTTGAACACTGCCTGTCTTTTCAGGAACAAGGCAACGAGAAGACCAACAACGGTACCCACTATAAGTTACAGCTCCTCTACAGCAATGGTAAGCGCGTAGCGTCGGCGGTGCCTGCTCCTTTCTCTTGCTGGAGGGCGGCTGACCACGTCGCAGTCGCTTGCAGTCAGCCTCCAGACGGGGGAACGCAGGGCTGCAGGAGGCTCGGGCAGGGCCAGAGGCGAGTGCGTGGTCTTTGCCCCCAGCACCGCACAGCCCAAGTGCTTGCCGGAAGTCGGGAGCCGGGGGCTGCTGCCTGGACTTCCATCCCCCGGAGCAGGGACTGGTTTGGGTGCCGCCGGCGGCTCCGCGGCCCTTCCCTCTTGCCCCCACCCCTCCCCCACAGGCGTCCGCACGGAGCAGGACCTATATGTCAGGCTCATCGACTCAGTCACCAAGCAGGTGAGCCAGCACCGGTCTCCTTTACCCTCGGGCACCCCTGAACCCCCAGCACCACACCTCTCCCCGCCCCCCCCCCCTCTGCCCACCCCCCACGATTTCCTGGGTCGGACTTCACAGGCCTCTCCACATCAACTAGCACCTTGTCCAACCTGGAGAGCAATTTTTTCCCTCTCTCCCCATCGTGTCCTCTTTCTTTCTGGTTGGGGTTGAGGGTAGGAGAGCAAAGGGGTGAAGAGAGGAAGCAATTGGTGGGAGATCCCATCCCCCCAAACATTCCCTTTTGCAGGAAATATGTCCTCACTAGGGCAAACTTCTCTATTATTCTTTCGTTTGAATTAGTCAGGCCACAGCTCAGGTTCTGTGCTAACTCCTAATGAAGTAGTGGGCAGAGGGGAAAAAATCAATTCTGTGCTTGTTCTGAAGTCCCCTTTCCTTTGTCTCTCCTTTGCCCTCCTGTGTTCCCTTCCTGCTTCCCCACAAACTCCCCACACTCCTTTGCAGCCCATAGCTTACGAGGGACAAAATAAGAATCCAGAAATGTGCCGCGTTCTCCTGACCCATGAAGTGATGTGCAGGTAAGTGTCGCTTTTTCCTGCGGGCTTTGCTGGAAAGCGGGACGGGTGAGCCGTGCTGGCCGGCTTGCGTGCCTCCCCGCTTGCATGCCTCCCAGCCGTTGACTTTCAGGAGTGGTGGCTCCAAGGGATGGAGGCCTTACCCCGGGGGCTGATCTGCCAGAACTCCCCCTTAAAGGCCAGATTCTTAGAGCATATCCCTTAGGACTCCAAAAGGAAACTCAGAACCACTCAGGATTTTAAACCCCGGCATCTCAGGAGTTTCCTCCGTTAAGAGGAACGTCTCTGTTGTCCTGCGGTCAGTGGCAGCGCAGGGAGGGGCCGGGCAGCTCCCAGCCAAGTTTGGGGTTGCAGACTTTGGGACTCTACCCCAGGTCCGCACTGCTAGGTTCCAGCCTGTTCTGCCCGCTCCCGGTAGATTTCCAGGAGGGGCTACTTGTAGAGTATGGAGTCAAAGCACTGGAAAAGACTTGCAGTCTGGGAGAGGAACTACCCGAGGGTGAATCCCCCCACCCCCAACCACAGAGGCACCTTTCTGTGATGCCAAAGGGTTTCCTTCCTTGGGGGATGTCGCTTCTCCGATGATTTCCCTTGTCAGGGGAGTTTCTGAGGTCAGGAGAAACTACTGGAGAGAAAGAGCAGTCCCGTTGACCACTAGTGGGAGAGGCGGGAGACGACCTCATTACAGGGATCCGGAGCAACAGTTGGATTCTGAACATCAAGTTGTGAGCGGCGCAGTCTCCTCAGATCCCTGCATTATCCCCCATCTTCTTTCTGGAGGCCAATCGTTCCATTTGAGACCCTTCTTCTGCTTGACTAGAAGAGAATTAAAAATTAGAAGAAATTAATCCACACACTTAATTATCCATCCTTTGAACAAACTTTTGAGTACTGGGGACCCACCACAGCAAAGGAGAAACGGAAACTCTGGAAAGAGGTGGCTATTTGACTATAAACATTTAAATGTCAAGGTCATACACGTTTTTCTTCCTCCCAAATCTCAGATTGGAGAGAAAAGCCTGTTCTTCCTTACTCTGCTGTTGTCCCAGTGAATGTCCACCAGCTCCAGACTTACTAGTTTTGGATAATTGTGGGCCATCTGATTTAGTTTGGACTGTTTTATGGGCAGCTCCCAGCTGCCTGGACTCCCTCCCAACCCAGTCAGAAAGAAACCATAACAATCAGCCATGTTTGTTTTGGTTTTGACCAAGTATTAGAAAAACAAACTTTGCCAAATGCAAAGTTCAATTCTGCCCGTGGCCTCAGCGGAGGGGAATGGCGCTTCCCTGCCTGAGTAGCTGGGAGAGGCCATGGATAATGGAGTGAACAGATAGCCACTCTATTATCCCAGGGTTCCTGATAGATTCCTCCAAAAAGGAAATGCAATTCCAAGAAGAGCTTGCATGTAATACCTGAGATTAAATAGAACACTTTGATTTGGTTGGGTAATTGAAGGACTTTTTTTTTTAAATCCCTCTTTATACTTTTAAATGTCTTTGTTTGGAGAGATTATCTTCCTAAAAGAAAGGAAAACAAACCCCCAAACTGGCCCATTGTCTGACAAATTATACCTATCACTTTAAATAACACTCGCATGCCTCATCCAGCTGTAGTTAAGGCTGACATTTTTATTTTTAAGCCCAATCAAATCCTCCTCATTTTATGCTGTTTAAGTAACAGCATCAATTTTTAAAGCCTCTAGTTTAGTCTGCATTAGTAACACAATATAAAAATTTAATGTACTGTAACTTCTCTGCATCTGAGACCTGGGAAGACGTTCTGTGGTTTTCTTCCCCAAACTAGAATTTAAAACAAATATTAATTATGGATAAATAAATGATCCATTGGATGAGTACTGTGTATGGTGTGTGTGTGTGTCTGTGTGTGTGTGTGTTTTGGGAGATAGTTGGGGTGATGGCAAATATTGGATGTAACCAGAGGGGAAGATCTCAATTTGTCAGTTAGAGCTGGTTGATTGTCCAGTAAGGGAAAAAGTTCCTTCTCCCACATTTTAGGGGCCAGGGAGAGCAGCCAGGGATTGAAGGATGAATCAGATGAGCTGTTCTGAGCGATTATTTCCTACTCTTCGTTCCCTTTGGTCTTGGGTATACCTGAAAATTTCCTTGAATGGTTTTATGTTCTGTAATCCTTAGGAAAAAAAAAAAGCTCATAAATTGGCATTGACCTTTCAGAGGGAACAAAATAAATCTCTTTAGGAATAACTTTTTCTCCCTTTCCCAGTTGTCTCTGCTCCTCTCTTCCCTGCTTTAGTTCATTTTGCCAATTATTAGCAAGGAGAAATCTAGTTGTTATGTTGCTGCCAGCCAGCCCCGTGCCCTCAATGCTCAGAGGGTTAAAAGATATTATAATTTGAACAGAAGTCGTCTCAAGGCCTACAGCTGGCTAATAACAGAGCTGTATTGAGCTCGAGCAAACCCCACAGCTGTGACTTTTCGCCACAAGGCGCAGGCTAGACAGGGTCCTAATCAGATGGGCCAGCCGGGCAGTGGGGCCAGTGTCTTTACCGGCCAGATGGTGTGAATTTAGACACTTTTGTTATGCAATCGCAGGGAGGAGTTGGGGAGAAGAAAACAAAACAAAAGCCACCATGCTGTGCGCTTATTTGAGTTTGAAATTAGAGACAGATTTTTGAAAGTTGAGGGTTGAATTTTAAAAACGATTTTGGAGGGGAAAGGGCACATTCGCTTGTCTTGAACAGGAGTTTGACGGACTGGACACCAGTGTCCAAGGCTGGGGATTTTTTTCTTCTCCAGCCATCCTTTGGCCCCCTTTCTTCTTCCTTTTGGAAAAATGCAGGTAAGATTCAGGATTGGGATGCGATTTTCCATATTCCCCCAGCCTCATCACCAACTTGGTTTATTTTTTCTCTTTCCCTCTCTAGAGACTCTGTGAGATGGGGAGGACCAGAGAGTCCTGTAGCATTTGAAGGAAAAGGTTGAGAGTGTTTCAGAGAAAAAGGTTCTCTGAGTAAGAATTAGAATAAAATAAATCAAACACGGCCAAACTGCGGAGTGGAGGACCAACCTGCGTTTTCATTCATTAGGGAGAAAAAGCCCTTCTGAGGCTCTCTGTGGTAGTTAGGAACACAATCAACCTAGTGCCAAGTTCAGTTTCCTCTTCTCTTTGTTTATTTTCCGCCTTCCTTTCCTATTTTACAGTCTTAAAATCTTCTGTTTTAAAGAAACACTTACCAGGAACATCAGACCTAGAGACTTGCTTGTTAGAAGATAACCCTATAAAGCCTTTTTCACTAAAGTAGCTGAACCTGAAGTTGGTTGCACAGGCTTTGTCTCTACAGCAAAGGGAGAGGAGAATGGAGTTTGTTATCTGAGTAATTCAGGGCCCCAGTCCTTCTCATCCACCAAGCACATATCTGATCCCAGCACGATTGTTTGCAGACGGGGGTTCATGAATGTCCTCCACTTTCCACTTCCCTTTGCTTATGTTAATATTACTGGCATGAGGATGGAATGTCATTTAAGAAACCAGATTTTTTTAAAAAAAGTAACTAAGACATCTTAATGAGAACCTTTTTTTTTTTTTTTTTAAAGAAAGGAAAAGAAGTAGTTTTGCCTCACCCCGAGAAATTTTGAGAGGGGCTCAGATGGAGCACATGCAGTCCATTCCTATTATTTTTATTCCTTTACTATTATAGCCCGGACCAAGTGAGTGTCTTCTACATCTCTTCTGTGCTATTAACATTAGAGATTGTACTTAAATATGTTACCATTGGAACATGGAAGATTGAGTTCTAAAGTTTCTCTGCATTTTTCCTTGAATATCATTTCCTTCCTCTATGAGAGGAAGGCTTACATTTTTATCTGTTTTTCTATTCCTTCGGAGAAAATCCCCATGGAAAGCAGCTGAATTCAGCTCAGCAATTCTGCAAACTTACTTGGCCTCTTCAGAATCATTCCTTCTCAAACTAAACAGATTGGCACAACCTGACAGTCCGTGCTCTTGTAATTAAATTGTACTTGTGTCGCACACATATTTGGGTTAGATTGACATACTACTGATGTCAAAGGGGAGTCTAGCTAGAAGGTCTTTAGGTAACAAGCATGCCTGGGCTTTTGAAATTGTGTTGCTAAGAAAAAAAAGCTTTGCCTGAGCCATAGAGGTATTCTGCTGACATCAGCAACAGAAGTAGGGAGAGGTGGGTGAGGGGAGTGGGTGGTGGTAGGGAGTTGGGAAGAGAGACACGGGCTTTGGGAGGTGGGAAAGCAGCTGGCCAGCATTTTTATTGGTGTTAATCTTGGGATGGATTGAAATTTTAAAAGTTAAGACCCAATATAATTTCAAAGGCAAAATATTATTTCAGAAAGTCCCCAGTGGCAAGCTCTGGTATTTAAGAACATTGAGACAGTTTTTCTTTTACTTCCTACTAATTTGATTAAATTTCTTAAAACCTCCTAGCGCTCATTTGGTGAAACTTGTTTAGCACTTCTCCAGTCTATCTTGCTCTTGGAGAAAGGTAGAGTGAGTAGCCAGGTAATCCCACACACCCCTGTAGGAGTGAACATGAACTTGAAAAGTTTTACAAAGACTTCTTTATTCGTTTGTTTGTTTTTTAATTCTGTGGAGGACCAGAGAGGGCAAGTGGACTGGAGGGAGCCACAAAGCAAACTGTGTCTGGACTGGTGATAGGCCTCAGAGTCCCTGTTGCCTTGTGGTCTTGCTCTTTGCCTTGTTTTGTCATCACTTCCAAAGAGGGCTTGGGGATCTCACTGCCTCACTGCTTCCGAAACAAAGAAGGGCCTCTGGAGATGATCTAGTCTAGTATTTTAATTTTATATATAAGGCTGGCAAAGCCCAGAGGGATTAAACAGATTTGACTACCTTCTCTCAGCTGCTTGCTGACAGTGTTGTATTGGACGCCAGAGCCCTGATTCTCACTTCAGCCATCTTTCCATTGTGTTGCTTTGCTCTCAAACTTAAACAGATTGTGGGAAGGGCAGTGCTGACATCTAGTTTGCTTATTTCCTGATGGTTATGAGGCATAGTCTCCGACCAGTGTGGATGGTCATTTTTTTTTCTATGCAATGTCAAGGCTACATTCTTAAGCAACCCTGTTGATGGTAGACCAGGTGCTTGAATGAGCCAAGAGGTATTTGGAAGCCTGAGGTCTGGTGGCAGCGGGCAGCATCAAGGGGAGGTGATTTTCCAGTGCTTCCCCACCACCCAGTTTCCTTTGCTTTTGTCACATCTGTCTAGGTCCTTCTTAAAGACACCTTTGGATTGGAGCATTTTGCTCACTGCTCAGGTCCAACAGAGTCCTTCCTGTCTGCTGTAGTTGCTGTATGGCTTCTTCTTTTCTTTCTCTCTCCCAGATAATTCCACAAGCCTTTCTCCAGCATCTACCAGGTACCCAGCACTTTGCTAGGTGGAAGTCTTGGGAGGTAGCAGCTTCAGGATGGGACTTCCACAGGAAGTCCCAATTCTGTTCTTGACATTGGTGGAAATCATGGGAGAGATCATTTTAGGTCTCTCTACCTCATTTTGTGTCTCTCTGCCTCATTTTCTCCCAATTTTACAATGTACATCATGGTTCTGGTCTTCCTCCTTCATCTTTAGAAAATGAGAGAAATGGATAAATAACTAAATGTTTATAAAGTATACTGAAAGATATTATTATTATGTACATAAGGTTGATAAAGCCAGGCAGCTACTCGGGGTCTATTTTATGCCTTCTCCTTTCTCTTCTTTCTTCAAATATTTATTAAGACACACAGATCTAAAAGACACAATCATAAAATCAGTCAACATGGAACTGGAAGTGACCTTATAGATTAAAAAATCCAACGCTTGTGGTTCAGAATACAAATATGGCTCCTGGGAAAGTTGTGATTTGCTGAAAATTACCCAGTTATAAGCCATAGAGTGAGAATTTGAGAGAGTATCTTTGGGCTTAGGGTTCAGTGTTGTGTTTAAACATAGCCATAAATACTGAGCTCAAGCAACTGAATGCTAAAAGGTTACCTAGGACATAATCACTTTTGTGAATGTTTCTATTTTGTATTTTGTTGATTTTAACAAATTTCTTTTATTCTCTTGGTTCCTTCCCAATCTACAGTCGATGTTGTGAGAAGAAAAGTTGTGGGAACAGAAATGAGACTCCTTCAGACCCCGTCATCATCGACAGGTAGGGGGAGAAAGCTATTGAAGCGATTATTCCTGGTTTCTTTCCTTTATGAATCTCAACGCTGAGTACCAATCGCTTGGGATTTGCCATAAGGTTGGTTTCATGCTGTCTTCAAGGCAAAGCCAGTCCAACATGTGTTTTCTTGTTCTGGTTGACCTTTCTTGGAAGAAGTCAGAACCTTGTTTTCTGAACCTGTGTCTCTAAATCTGTGATGGGATTCTTTTCCAGGTGCACTGATGTCAACCTAATAAGGAGTATGTGGATGGTAAAGGATTCCTGCTCTCCTATCTGGCAGAGCTGGGTCTCAGTAAGTTTCTTGGAAGAGGCAGTGTACCCCTAGTTAAGCGGCAACTCCTTTATCATTCTCAGTGATTGCTGTTGGGTTTGAAGACTATCAGTTTAGATTACAGTTTAGGGGATTATGACAAGCTCTCTCTTGCACTGAGGGAGATTCTGTTCTACCACAGAGCATTGCATTCTGGGTCTTATGTTATATTCAGAGTGGGAAAGATTCACTGGGACAAGATGCTAATTCATTGAAATGTGATTTAGGCATCCTCAGCTGTCTGTTTTTGTGATTGGAAACAGAACTTACAAACCAATGAAGAAATACCAAATTAACTTCCAGCAATCATGTAATTTTTAAGAAATCCCCTATTCCCACCCCTAATTTTTTCTCTTTCGTTAAAAAACGGAATAATTCCCTATTGCTTCTTTCTTTGGGTTTTCATGTTTCTAGCCAGGTCCTGAAATGGATTGGAGAGACCACAGTCTCCAAAGTTGTTATTCCAATATTCCAATGAATTCTCAACTGGGAGAATGGAACCTCTGGCATTCTTCCCAGAAAGCCAGCTTGGTTTCTTTGTGGAAAGTATAGCATAGCCCTAGGAATGAGGAGGCTGGAATCCGGATCCTGTCCTCATTCCTGACCTTGGACAAAGCACTCAGCATCTCTGCTCTTCAGTGGTATGACTGAAGGGTACTGCCTGCCACTCTAGGTTTCAGGAGGCTCCAGAAAGTTTTGTAGTCTTCTCTGAGATGCTTAGAAGAGGATAATAACCAAATGTCAAATGTTTGTTGGTTGTAGGGGGGTACTTTTGCCATCATAGGAGTTTCAGGTGAGACTCATTTTAGGGAGCTGCTTGGAATTTCCTTTTTGGTTTTGGTTTCTCTTTTTTTCTGAAAGTGCATGGAAGCTCCCAATGAAAGAGTTATGAGAATTCTTTGGGTTCAGCCATCTTCCTCATTTGACAGATGGAAATTGGCCCAAGAATGCTGATATGACTTGCCCATGATTGCACAGCTGAGTGGAATAAAGCTGGTCCTAGAACACAGCCATCCGTCCTTCTTGGCTCATGTTCCCTTTGCTGCCACAGCCTCCTCCTGGCACTGTCTGTCTTGACTTTTGTGACTTGAATGTGTTGATTGCACATGGCCCCATTTCCCAACATCCCAGGATGCCCTAAGGATCCCTTGGGAGAAATCTGAAGCCTATGAGAACAAGCTAGATGCAGACCCAGTCCCTCCTGGCATGCACCCTGACCTCACCAATCATCTCTCCTTCACACACTTTTGCTCCCTTTCAAGATGCTCCTCCAACCTCATGACAAGTACCTCTTCTCCTGTGGTGAATAACCCACAAACCAGCTTTAGAAATGGTTGCAAACATACAAATGCTGAGCTGCACCTTACATCTCATCAGCACACATCCTAAAGACTCCTCATGGAGTCGTTCTTGCATTAAGAAACCCAAGGAGCCTGCACCTGAGGATAAAGCCAAACATATTTACATTTTCATCCTATGTGAACACACATTACCTGTACAAGAGAAGGTAGTCTTTTATCTATATCTCTGTGTAGAGTCTCCACAGAGAGAAGAGTTTCAAATTAGGTGCTTTCATTGTTTGTGCTAGAAAGTCTTGCATTCTTCTCAGAAGGTGGACATTGTATTTTGGCTGCATGTGATAGAGCTTTATGTGGCAATGGCATTTATTTTTTACTATCATTTGCAGAATAAAATAGCCCAGTGATGTCTCTGCATCACTTGAAATGTGTATTACTTTTGAAATGTTGCTCATCTACACATGGAGACATAAATACCCAAGGGTACAGGTAAATTGGCCATCATCAGGTGTTTCAAGAACCCATTTTATGATAAACAGATGCATTTGTTCTGTCTACTCACTGTCAGGCTTTTGTCTGATGACATTGTTCCTTCTGGTCTTATTATTGCTCTTGGATATCTTTGTGGCTTACCTTCGCCTTCTTCCCTTCATTGTGGAAGTAACAGGAGCTAAAGTCAGGTTTCCATTTGTTGGAAGTGGGATGGGTGGTTTGTGTCATTCAGGGGTTTGGTTAAGTTGTGCGTTCACTCCCTGTGTTCAAAGTCTGCCAATTGGAGATGTTGAGATTCCCCCATGAGCACCAAACGGGCGCAAAGTAGTCTATTTCGGATTTCCTCTGAGTAAATATAGAACTCTCGTCTTTGCCCTTGTTCCTATAATGCCAACTAATTATCTCCTCCCCCTGCTCACTCAGTCTAACCAGATGCAGTTAATTTACACTGTCTCTCTTTGAGTTTTCTCACACAACAGGCACGCTCCACTCTGGCTCCAGGGAAGCCTGTTTATTCCCTTGGAATTGTGCATGTTCAGGGGAACGAATGGGGAGCTCAGGGGGGTTCCCAAAGTTTTCACCACAAAGGACCCATTCTATTGTTTCCCTTGGCTAACCCAGCGTTTTGTAAGATTTTGTCTGCTAAACTGCAATTAACAAGTAATTATTCAGTTGTAATTCCATTTTTCTTAATCAAAGACATACAACAGAACGGGAAGGAAAAACCTCATTCCAGAAATGTCCGTGATCTCATCAATGGCCTATCAGAAGTTTTGACTGGGATGAGGCAACCAGTGTTAGCACACTGAGTCTGTAGACTTGCAGCTCAAACACAAAACAACTTGACTTTTCACTTAGCCCATGTGACCACATCCTGGGCAGATACTCAGTTTCCAATAGGCTGCTTGAAGTGTGAAAAATAGCTTTTACTACTCTGTGGCTCCTTCTCTGAGAATCATTGGATTTATGAAAGGGCATCACCCATTAGAGATTTGGTTCTTCGTTTTTTAAAACTTAGCCCCAGACCAGGGTTTTTTGTTTTTTCATTTGTTTTTCCTACTAAATTATTCCCTGCCCTGATTTCTCTAGAAGCTTATTTGTCTTTTCATCATGCTTTTGTGAATTCCTGGGCAGCCACACCCCTCTCCAAAAAGCCAGGCCAACACACGGCTCAGCAGGACTTGCTGCTGAATCATGGACCCCCAGCAGAGACTTCCTTCTGTGTACAAATGTGTGCGTATGTAGAGTGGCAGTGGGGTTTATCAGTTTTTAGTGTAAAAATCCAAAGTTCCTATTGGAAAGGAAAAAAAAAAAATACCAGCAGAGCAGAACAAAACAAAACCAACAATGAAACCATAATCCTTACTTGGGTCTTCAGCCTAAATCTTGTTTATAAAGATCTGTGTGTGGTAAATAAAAATTAAAAGGCTCAAGCCTGATTTGTATTTTGTGGTCTCAGAGCTAATCCAACCTTGTTTATTCTGGGCTGTATTCTTCTCAGACTCTCTTCTCTGTCTGGAAGCCTGTTCTGAATATCTACTGAAACTCTGGGGTTCTTAGGATAATCTGGTGCTCCAGGGAAGAGTATTTTAGGGACAGGTTCACCAATGTAGGTGAGTGAAAAAGAGTCCTTACTCTTCCAGTTCTTACAGCCCCATCAAAAGTCAGATGGATGGCGAGGGCAAGAATTCTTTTTGAGTCTTTGTAGGCTGTCCCTGCCCCTGTGTATAGCGGTGTGATATTTTCTCTTCAAAGGGCACATCAACCTATGTTTCACATCCTAAATATCCAAGCTTTTGGTCTTGGGACATTGGTCTCCACATTTCCGAACTCTGTTTCCAGGAGCGCCATTTTCTGTGTTGATGTATTTTTGTTTATTTTCTTTTTCAAGAAGCCAGACAAACAACAAGATAAACCTCATTCAAAAGGTTGATTTGAAAAGATCTGGCATATAGGTATGCACAAGGGGGTTTTCCTGATGTTATCTTCCTTTTTTTTTTAAATTAAAAAAAAATTTTTTTTTAAGATTTTATTTATTTATTTGACAGACAGAGACCACAAGTAGGCAGAGAGGCAGCAGAGAGAGAGAGAGGAGGAAGCAGGCTCCCTGCCGAGGAGAGAGCCTGATGTGGGGCTTAATCCCAGGACCCTGGGATCGTGACCTGAGCCAAAGGCAGAGGCTTTAACTCACTGAGCCACCCAGGCTCTCCCCCACTTTTTTTTAAAATAAGCTTTTAGTTGTGGAAAAATACACTCAACAGAAAATTGACCCTCTTAACCATTTTTAAGCATGCAGCTAAGTGGTTTAGGTTCATGCATATGGTTGTGCAGTGAGTGCCACCATGCCTCTACACAACTCTTGTATCTTACAAAACTAAACCTCTGTCCCCATTGAGCACTAACTGTCCATTCTCCCCCACCTCCAGCCCCTGACAGCCCCCATTCCACTTTCTGTCTCTGTGAGTTTAACTACTCTGGGGACCTCACATAAGCAAAGTCATACTGTGTTTGTCCTTTTGTGACTGGCTTATTTCACTTAGCCTAATGTCCTAAAGCTTCACTCATGTTGTAGCATGTGTCAAAAGTTGCCTTCCTTTCTAAAGCTGAATAATACTCCATTCTGAATATATCATGTTTGTTTATATACTCATTGGTCGATGGACACTTGGGTTCCTTCGGTCTTTGAGCTATTTGTGAACAATGTTGCTATGAACATTGGTGTACAAGTATCTCTTTGATTCTTTGTTTTCTCTTCTTCTGAATATATATCCAGAAGTGGAATTGCTGGGCCATATGATAATTTGAGGAACGACAAACCATTTCCATAGCAGCTACCTCATTTTATGTTCCCACCAACCATGCACAAAGGGCCCAATTTCTTCACA